CCTAGGCCCTCCACAGATATGTGATAGTTATGTATGCTTGTCTACCTGTGGGACTCCTAACAGAGGGAGCAAGGGCTGTCCCTAATGCTTTGACTAGCTTTGGGGAAGCTATTCCTCATACTGGGTTGTCTTGCCCATCCTCAATACAAGGAGTGCTTAATCCCATTACAACTTGCTATGCCATGCTTTGTTCACACCCATGGGAAGCCTGACCCTTTCTGAACAGAAACAGAGAATTTGAGTGTGTGGGATTATGAACAGGAGGGATCAGGTGATGGAGAGGAATGGAGGGAGAGTATATGGGGAGAGATGCCAGGGATTGGAGGACATATGTGGGAATGATGGGAAAACCTAGTGTAGCAAGAACATCCAAATTCCACAGGGTGACCCTAGGGAGGATTCCTTGTGATGACATTCTTATCTGCTCACAGATCAGTGCCTAGTCCAATCATCATCAGAGAGGTTTCCAAAGGCAGCTTGTAGGAGCAGCTGCAGAGACTCACAATAGAACATTAGGTAGAGAGAGTGCATATTGGACATCTCTACCTGCTCCCTCATCTTGGATCTCAGGGAACCCCTCAAAATAGGGGGATGAAGAATTGTAGGAGGCAGATGAGTCAAGGATACCAGGAAAATATGGGCCATAGATATTAACTAAGCAGGCCTCAGAGGGATTAACAGAGACTGAAGTGGCAATCGCAGAGCCTGTGTGGATCTGTGGTAGTTCCTGTGAATATACGTTATTGTTGTTTCAATTGGTATTTCTTTATGGGACCTCCAACAGTGGGAGTGGGGTTGACTCTGACTCTCCTGCCTGCTCTTGGGACCCTTTTCTCATTGCTGGGTTGCCCCATCCAGCCTTGATATGAGGATTTATGCCTAGTCTTATGGCACCATGATACACCTCATGTGGTTGGTATCCCCTGGGAGGCCTGCCCTTTTCTGAAGGGAAACAGAGAAAGAATGGATCTGGGGGAGAGAGGGAAATGTGATTGGGAGGAGTGGGAGGAGGGACTGGGAAAGACTGGAAAAATGCATTTAGAATGTACTGAAAACAAAAAAGTTATTAAAAAGAAAAATTATGAAAGGAAAAAAGTCTGAATGACAGTTTAGAAAGAATAAATTTCATGAAAGAAAAGGGTTAACAAAAGAGGACTAGAAAGAAATTCAGCTTGTGTGGCATGAAGCAAAGCCCTAATACTGAGAGGGGAGAAAGAAAAGAAGAAAACATCATGAACTTAAAAGGATGTAATGAGGACAAGCTGCACACTTCTGCATCCCCATGAGTCTGGGAGAAAAGATTTCATCTGTGATTTGGTTGTCTAATACAGACTAATCAGCTTTGGATCCATGTACCCCCAAACAAGAAATGGACTCAGCCTGTCTGGTTGTGTATGTGAGAGTGTGTGTGTATGTGTGTGTGTGTGTATGTGTGTGTGATGTGTGCATACACACACATGGATGTAACAAACTATCAAAGACAAAAGGAGCTACCAACTTGAAAGTAAGGTGCATGTGAAGGGTTCAATGTAGGATAGCTAGGAGAAGCTAGAGGGAGGAAAGGGAGGGGAAGTGATGTAATTCTCTTTGAATTAAAAACATTCTTTTAAAAAGAGGTGACAAACATGGAGAGGCAAGCTGGAAATATCAAGAGACAACAGACTACAAATAGGAACAGAAATATTGAGCATGAGGTCTTTTTAAAAAATTACAGACAATAACCTACAGTGTTAATGCATATGGCAGGAAAAGGGATATTCTTGTTTCCTCGCCATTCTGCATCCATAAACGAAACAGAAAAGAAGATATCCCATGGGCTAAATTGAAGACCCAGTGTTTAATAACACTTGTAGCTTTTGTTTACCCCATGATGAACACCTGAAAAGCAAATAGCCATCCATAATCCTCAAAATAAACAAATAATTAACAATGAAACAAAAATAAGCCTATAACTATTTTAGATTTACTATTTATGTCCAAATTGATTGAAAAATATAGCTGAATGTAGTTCTCCATCAACTTAGGTATTTTATTTTATGATTCTAGGAAACAAGTATTTTCCTGATGGCTGTGTGTTAGTATATTTTTTGGTTGTTGTCAACAAGGCAGCGGATCCTTCAGTCGGGCTTCTATCTCACCACCTCGGAGAATGGAGTATACAGACCCAGATGGTGGATTTTTATTTACACAAGAGTGACAACTTGCACGTGAAAATAGAGGTTCTGAATTCTCAGTAGTGAGAGGAACCCAACTGAGAGCAATTGCCAGTTACTGTTGCAACTCTACACTTTCTTCAAGCCTAGGGATATCAGGCGAGAGGTTACCAGAATGTGTGACAGCTCTGACATCTAGATCGGCAAGGGAGTGTCCATCAAGAGTGGGCCTCTGAGAGCAAACCTATGGAAAACACTTTGCCAAAAAGACTGAACACATCAGGGGTAGGGACACTCAAAGAAGGCAGGAATTCCCCCCAAGACAGGAACAAGTTCTCTTGACTGCAGTAGATCTCCAGCTGAGATGGTTAGTTTTTTGGTTTTTTAATATATATTTTATTTAACTTTTTATATATGTCACTCTCAGTTCCCTTTCCCTCCCCTCTTCCCCCAGCCCTCCATTCATCTGAATCCCCCACCCCAATCCATCCCCCTTCTGCTCCCCAGGGAGGGTAAGGCCTTCCATGAGGGATTTTCAGAGTCTGTCATTTCATTCAGGGACGTGCCTATTATCGCCATATTATTTACTTTAACTGGTAACTTGGGTCTATGATATTGTATAGAAGTTTGCCAAAATATACGTTTTGTGTTTCCTCTTGATATAATTGATTCATCCTTTGGAGCTAATGTATTATCCAGTGCCGTATTATTTACAATGGGCAGTGGATCTTTTAATTTCCTGGGAGAGGCTGTCCTCCACTGTTACTGGGAATGACCAGATAATCTTTATTTTCGGGGCCTTCTGAGGCCCCTGTTTATGTTTCCCAGCTGTAAAGGTCTACCTTGTCTATCTGTAGTCGACCAACATTCCTTGGTCCAATGTTCTTCCTTTCCACACCTCCTGCAGAGACCGGAAGGCTGAGGCCTTCTGTCGGAATCATTCCTGATAGAAGCATTATTTCTAGAAATGCGTTGTCTACAGTTCCTATTCAGATGTCCTATTTTACCACAGTTAAAGCAAGTGTCATCTTTATATCTGTTAAAATTTTTGGAGATTGCCTCCCCTACCCAGGCGTCTATATCGTCACAGGTAGGGTATTTGGCATCCTAGTGTCTCCTCAAGCCTGTAGAAATCGCTTCACCTACCCAAGCTCCCGTACCCTGACTTTTACATTCAAGGTTAGCTGCATATAGGACCAATTCCTCCAATGCCACTGATCTTATTTTTAATGGCCAAAGTACCTGCTTGCATTGTGGATTTGCATTCTCATATGCCAAAGATTCTATAAGGAGTCACCTAGATTCTGGATTTGTTACTTGTACTTCTATTGCTCTGGACAATCTCTCTAAAAATTCAGTGAACCTTTCCCTTGGACCCTGTACTACCTTGGTATAGGGTTGCATTATGTCTCCTGTTTCACAAACTTTATCCAAAGCATTCAAAGCAGCTCTACAGCATAAAGAAAACATGTGCTCATCATATGCAGACTGAACCTGCAGGTCAGCGTAAGCACCCTCCCCAAGAATCTTGTCTTGGGGTGCTTCATAGCCATTCTTTAATTCATGAATCTCTAGGGCTTTCGCCTCTTGCCTCCATAAAGCTCTCCATTGAATTTGACATGAATTCTCAAGCACTGCCGAGGCTAATTGGGCCCAGTCTCTTGGGGTTACTGTATTTGCAATGGCCCATGAGGTTAGGAACTCTCTGATATAGGGAGAATGAAGACCATACTAAACAATGGCCTCCTTGATTCCCTTTAGGTCCTTCATCTGTACAGGTTCCCACTGATAAACAATGGGACCATTTGGGTGCTTTTTTGTTGATGGTTTTTCAAATACAGATACTGGGTAAACCATAGGTGAAGGCATAGCAACCTTAGGGAGATCTTTCCGGCATTGAGAGGTGTGGGGAAACCCCTGTCCTGACTTTGCTGCCTGTATGTCTGATTCTGAAGTATCAGATTGGAGGTCTTCTAAGACCTGCAATCTATTCATCATTGTTTCTCTGATCTCTTGAAGTTCTTGGGTCAAATAATTTTCTAAGGACGTCATGGAATCGTTCATTTTCTTTTGCAGTCATCATTTACACGTGATTCCAAATATTTAATATCCTCATCCTTAGAAAGTATCTCAATGGCATGTAAACTGCCTTCCAGAAATAACGTTCTATCAGCTAGTTTGTCATTGCTCTCAGACATGGAACAAATCTTTTCTGTTAGCTTTTCAATCTTATATTCCAGTCTTTGTAGTTTGCTAGTGAAATCATCAAACATGGAACAGTTTTGTTGGTTAAATGTTTCAACATTATATTCCACTTTTTCTATTCTGTGTGTTGAATCGATAGGTATGGAACACATTTTTCCTGAAAGAAATTCAATTTTATGTTCTGTCTCTTTAAACCTGTTTGTCAGACCTACATTATCATTTTTAATATCCTGAATATTTTCTACCAAATCTTCCTTACTATCCTGCAAGGAATTTTCCATTTCCTGAATTTTTTGTTCTAGGATTTCATAACCATCTTGCAGTGACTGTATGACCTGTATAAGTTTGTCATATTTTGCCCTATTTTTGAACCATTTCTTTAGCAAAATTATATGGATTATGAAACTAATAATCACCATCGTGGGTAGGAAGTATCTTCCAGGTAGGTCCTCAACCCTTTCAAAAATCCCATCCATACAAAAAACAAGAAAATTCTTAACATCCTGCATCGTAATGTTAGTTGACATTGTAAAAGCAGTTAAGTTTGTTACCAGTGGAGTTTTATTCAGGCCAAAGTCAGCAGGCCACCAGTGAAAGAGCAAGTGGCTGCAAGAGAAATCTCGGATTACCACTTAACCTTACCAGCAGGTTGAAGGTACTGGTTCCCGGTGGTGGGAATCGTGCCTTGCTGAACGAAGTGGTGGGGAACTTAGCGAAAGGAGAGCCCATGTGTGCCTGGGGCCGGCGGTGGTTGGGCCGAGGAGCAGATGCTTTCTAGGTGCCTGGATCCAGGTTCTGGAACTTCTGACACCAAAATGATGCTGCAATGATAAACGACACACTTACTGAAAGTAAAAGTAAGCATTTATTGTAGAAATTACCCACAAGAAACAAACAAGTAACCCAGATAAGCTGACTAGTTTTCCATCGCCGAACTGGAAGCCAGAAAGCCGGGAAAGAGAACGAGACTTCCGCTGTTCAATCTTTTATACCTTCCTCCGTAACACCCCTAGCCATGACCAAAAGTGGGCCTGGCTAGTGACGTAGTTCACCGCCTATGTCCTTATATGTCTTTGGTCATGCCTAAAGTGGGTGTGGTTAGCGGTGCGGTAAACCGCCCTTTTATTACCTCATCTTTATGCACCTCTACTAAGTCACATGGCTAATGGAGGAGACTGTTTCCTCCTACAGAGTATGGATATCTAGTTCACCTAGAAGTGTTTGTTGAAGAGACTTTTTTGTTCAGTGTGTATTTTTTGACAT